CTCCCCCGCTTTAAGCATGGGTTGCTGGTGCATAGGTTAACAGTTAGAAATGCAGGGTTCAGCAATGCAAATTACGAAAAATAAAATAAAAACTTGAAATAAAATATTATTTAAATCTAGGCATGATATGGGGGAATGTGTGGAATTGAAGACTGTTTGGAAGGAAAAACTTTTACATGTCCGAGTGTTACGTGACAGAGGCATGTGTGGGTGTTAAACGTACTAAGATTAGTAAGGTAAGGTTACACTGAACATTTTAAAATGCAAAGTTATTACCTGAGTATGCGAGGTACTATCGTCAGCAATTGTCATTTGCAAACAGAATTAAATGTCACATTATATACTGTATCAGCAACTCATAACAATGTCTAGGCATCACACTTACCATTCTCACAGTGAGTTCCAGTCCATCCAGGCTCACATGAACAAGTGTAATATGTATAGTGATTGTCACAGTACCCATTGACACACGGATTAGTCATGCAAGGATTTTGTTCTGTAAAATATTGTAAAATACATATTTAGAAATCCTCAGTGTTTTGTTTTGAAAAATATGCATCACAAGACAGGGATAAAATTACCTATATCACAGTTGTTGCCCATCCAACCAATTGCGCAGTCACACATGTAGAAAACTTGATAGTTCCTGCAAGTCCCACCATTTTGACAGGGAGTAGGGATACACAGATTAATCGCTGCAAAACACAAAGAGTAATACGCATTTTTTTTAAATGATTTATGCAATGGTAGTGAATTTATTTCAGGATTCATGATAAAAACAAATGTTTTTACACCACACCACTGTTTGTCATACAAAATAAAATGGAATGTCAAGTTTCATTCATATTAAAGCGCGGTGGTCGTCGCGCAGGGCGTGTTCGATTTTCATGTAAATAAACAATGTATTTTACACGCGTTGTATACGTCGTTATGAGTCCCATATCAAACAGAACGCGGCACGACGACTGCCGCCCTTGAATTATAATGAAAGCGCATACAAATGTTTATACGATGATGTGTTAAAATACACAAATGGGCACAGACAATAAACGAAGTATTGGAATATTAGTGAGTCACAGTCGTCAAGCTGGGCGTCCCAATTGTGTGTAGGCAATACATTTTCAACACGTATTGTTCACGCCGCAAGAGATCCGTGCGCGTTTTAATATCATTGACCGTTCGTGTCCAGTTTTAATATAGAGTTTTATATTTGAAGCATATATTTCACTTTCGAAATATTTGAATATTCTTATAGAACATCACTAATGATACGTCATTCAAGCAAAAACTCGAGCAAATTGCCGAGTTCATTTCCTGATAAGTAATGTGGGTCGATTGTATGCACATATCACTAAAATATTGTAACACTGTCGGTTTTTTTCTGAATGGATAATCTAAGATTGAACCAAGGAATTTTGGTTGAATAATAAACATGAGAGGTATCGACCCTTAACATACTGCTATGTGTTATACTGTGTAGCCTTTGTCAATTAGGTAGTATATTTGCGATAAAAGGAAAAGGGAGAGGTACGTTAAGGATTGTTCCAGTAAAATATTAAACCGAGGTGGAAAAGAAGTTATCCAAAAAACATTCCACAATATACTAGTATTCCCTGAAATCAACAGCGAAACTGCAATGTTATTGTTCTATACAGTCACGTGCCCTTGTATTAGTAATTTCAACAGTCGGAAGTGGGCTAGGGTTCTGTGTATTCAAATAATTTGATGTGACAAGCAGTTAGGATTTACTATTCGCGCATACCATGACACAGTTATTGAAATGAACCAATTACTGTAACATTACTTAGATATTTTTTACTGAACTTCCTCGTCAACGATAACACAAACACGACCCTTCTTCCTATCCGTAGACCATTACTAAGGCTTTCAACTGACATACCTTGTTGGCAGGTTGGTCCTGTCCACCCATCAGCACATGTGCAGGTATATGCAGTCTGAAAGTCGTTGCATTCTGCTCCATTTCTACAGGGGTTGCTATTACATGGATTTACAGCTACGATACAATAGTACGCATGTTAGTATATGACACAAATAACCCCGCCATAATGTTGCATCAATTATCTATCATAAATTGCTAACAAGGAACGCTTCTCCATTCAAAAGTCCAGTGCAACACGTGAAGAGTTCATCCACTTTAAATTCCCGCGAGACAATCATTTGTGCATTTGTATGGTGTTTACATACTTTGCGTTTTGGATCGTAATTGGCGATTAGGTACAATTTTTATAATTCATATTTATGTAACAATTTATGACCTTTACGGCCATGACATGTCTCCATGGTTTTACTTACGAGTTGCACAGTTTGTTCCCGTCCATCCATCGGCACAGTCACACTCATAGTACGTGACGTGATTTATACACGTGGCACCATTGAGGCACGGAGTTGGTGAGCATTTATCATCGCCTGAAAAACATATGATCATAACTTAACGTTATTCCTGTCCACAATTATTCTGATTAATGCAAACTATTCGGTTAACAGATCATTGAAACAGTATAGCAGTGAAACACAATTTCTTGACCCAATAATTCCATTGTATATTGTTTAACTAATGCACCTATAATATTTGTTCAAAATGCTTATATAAATTGTATGTAGCTTACCACACTAAGCAATGCAATTGCTATCACTCAAAAAGACAATGTGGATAACTTTAAATATTTTTGCTCATTTTTAAATAATTTTTTATTACATCTTTTAAAATAGTCTGTATAATTCATTGTAAAATAAACGTTTACTCTTGCTACAAACATAGTATTCGTTACACGAAGTAATATAACACTAGTACACATCGAATTTAGTTAATTCAAGAATTTAGTTATCTGCATTGTCTTTCACTGTGGTTCTGTATATACGATAACAGCCTTAACTCACGTGATTCACATGTAGTTCCAACCCAGCCAATAGGACAATCGCATACGAAAAATGTCATAAAGTTTGTACATGTGCCTCCGTTATTGCAAGGATTGGGACTGCATAAATTGATTTCTGAATACAAAAAAAATAATATGACAATGAAGTGAGTACAAATTGTGTTGTATCTGTAGTGTCTCTAAGCGACAGTGAATTATGGAATCTCACCTTGTCCACAGTCACTACCTGTGTACCCGCTTGGACACGTGCATCTGTAATATGTTTGGTGGTTTATGCAGGTAGCCCCGTTTTTGCATGGGTCCGGATTGCACAGATTTATAGCTGTAACAACAATTGATCGCAATCAATGTAAACGACACATAAGCAACACTCAGATCACTAATACAGATCTATTGAAAGATTAACTAAAATCCAGTGTATGTTTGAACATACCTTGCCCGCAGTTTGTTCCTGTCCAGCCTCCTAAGCAGGTACACGTGTAGAAATCTACAAAATTGTTACATGTGGCTGCATTCAAGCATGGGTTGCTGTTGCAGGGGTTCATAGCTAATGCAAGAAATAAAATAAACCTGTATTTAACACATTTTAATTAAATTAAATTAGTTTAATAACTACATAACGTGAACTTAAATTATTTTTGTTAAAATTAAGTTTAAATAAAAAAAAGTATACGGTTACTTTAGGAATGCACCATGCCTACTTACATGTCTGGCAGATGACTCCAGTCCAGTCAACGGGACAGTCACATGTGTAAGAGTTGACACCGTTTTTACAAGTACCGCCATTTAAGCAAGGATTGCTTGAACATTCATTGATATCTGGATAACCAGGAGAAGAGTTGGGAAGAAAATATGCAGTACTTTATAGGTGGGCTGTTTACCGAAATGTAAGAGGGTAGGATACAAGAACATGCAGTCACCTTCCACATACATCACCCTCAACGATAAAGTTATAGAAATGATTTCCATGATAATAAACTTCTAAGGATCTGCATTATAGAGTTGTGATAGGTTTACATGCAAACACGACAAATTAGTCATACTTACCAACACAGGTGTATGAGGCAAAATCGTCAAGGCACGCGTATCCAACAGCACATGGATTGCTCAGGCATTCGTTACCGTCTATTGGCAAAAAAGTAATAACTATTATCGGTTTTGAAAAACTAAATCTGGACAGAGTTATTTGTTTGTATACTGATCTGTTCTGTTCTGTTCTGTTTAAATTATTGTACATCGTCGATCAAGAATACGTCATCCTGCAAACACTTTACTAACCTGCTTCATATGAAATGGAAAATCCAGTTCTGACTATGTTTTTGTCGCTCGACCAAATAATGAATACTTGATTGCTACTGAGAGTGATCGGATCGGGAGCGACATCGCCATCGAACAGCAACACACCATCCAGTGTATAATCGGCTACGGGTCCAACACCAATCTCCACAGAATCCTTATCCAGTTCAACGTCAAACGGCTCATTGAAGACCAAACGAATAGATGTAGCCGATGGAATTCTGATAAGGTACACGCAAAATTCCCTCGACCCATGGAAGCTTGGGTAGTTTGGTGAGGTTATCGTATCTCTCAGACTGTATGAATTGGAACCGCAACCTTGAACTAAAAATAAATCGCAAAACATATTAGTTGTAATGCAAATTAGTTCATGAAGATTTTGTGTTAGTGAATTCTCCCTACTTGCATAGAAGTTGTGAGCAAGATGTTTTTTTTTTCGCTGAAAACACTTGTGTTTAGAAGTGGGTATATAAATGGAAAAAAAATGGTTTATAAGTGAGTATACTAGTAGTTTACGAGAGGTTAGCTTCACACCCTTACCCACTTAATGTGGAAGTAGCCCCCCCCCCCGATTCTTCCCCACAATACATCATCATTATCATGTACATTTCAGGTTATCTCTCTTGATCTCTCAATTGCGATCTTTCTGAGCAAAGTTTTGATGAATCTATTCAATGACATGCATCTTGTTTACTGATACTTACAGGTAGGCTGTTCACAATCTTGCCCATGCCATCCAGTGACGCAAAGACACACATACCCTGGACTGAGTACCGATATCTGACATATCGCACCGTTCTGACAGGGGTCGACGTTGCAATCTGAGAAGAATAAAAGTATATCCATCTAGTCTTGGTAAAAATGTAGATGAAACTAACAGTTTTTGATCACATTATGTTAATTCGTAGTCTTAGTGAAATTAACTGCATTATGTCCAATCACGATACATGTTCGGGGGATATAATATACAGTAGCCCACAGTCTGTTGAAAAATCAGTGGAAAGAAATGCAAACAAATGAATGCAATATTCACAATTTAGACACATTTAGTTATAATACGTGTCAAGTGTCAACGGTTTACCCATAATGTTTTGGCAAAACCACTCCAACAAAACAATTTAAGCACAACAACATGCACATATATGTGCATAACCAATCTTGTTTCACGCTTTGTATAGTCTTTCAAGAAATATAGTATTTTTGACACGTAAACGTCTCCGAATATGCATTTACATATCATAGACTAACATTATCAGCAGTGTTCCAGCTGGTTTTGCGGTCCTTTAACAAAACAACTCTCAAACGAATTATTACACTGTTCAATCTCAACATTTCACTAATCTACGTTAGCATGGCAGTTTGAGGCCGGACGTGATAAGGACAGGAAATGGAACACTCTTTGGGGCTAAAACCAAGTCGCGTGTATATCACGCTCCCAAGGAGTCCTAGGCGTTAACATGTAAATAAGGTAAGGTAGCGACTATGGAAATTTGTACACTCAATTATTTGCATTCAATCTCTTCCTGTCAGTCAATTAAAATAACATAAGAATGTACAATATTCTGAACGAATCAACGCATTACTTCACAGAATTATATTTTCGCTGAGACAGATGTCAATCTAGTTCTAGTATTTACAATTTATGCCGTTAATCAATCTGTTAATCAAATATAGTCACTGTACATGTACATGACAATAAACAGCTATTTAATTCAAAATCAATTAACGGGTGTTCTATGAATAATATGTCTAATTTTAAGTCAATTTTAAATTATGATTAACACGCCAAACAATTCTTACGAACAAGCCTATTTCAAATCAATTGCTATAACGTATATTTAATTTGTATACAAGTCGACGTTTATATGAATGTGCGTAGTTCCAGTTATTCCTTGGTGTATACATAATATACTATGGTTTGCAAGACGTGAATTAAAGTGAAATTTAAATAGGGCTTTTTAACTTACAACAATGAGTTAATTGGGTTTAGTGCCTTCCATTTGATATGAGTGAATAACACCCGTACGTGACGACGGTTCTGAACGAGTCTTATTAACTAAAAATGCGAGTCATAGAAAAATAGTTTTACCAATAACAAAACAACTCAATTATTGGACGCTTCGAAATTGGGCATGTGTGTTATACAAAGTTATATCGTTGCGTGGTCGTGGTTCAATTGCGTTTACTAAGACTCGTACATAAATGATTATATTAAAATAATTAACTTCGTTGTCATGGCAAACGAGAATTTACAGGTTAGCGTAGGACAAAGTCGCACTATAATACCGTAATCGGCGTTAAAACACGGTTTCGATTGAATGGTCCGGCGATGCAATGTAGAGAAAGTGGCCGATACGCTTGAAAAATAAACTACTGTAAAACCATTTATTTTCACTGTCATTTAATATCACAATTTTGGTGTTTTTAGCCTAGTCACCATGTTTTAATTTCTCAAATTTGTCAAGGAAACAATGAGTTTTATTTTACTTATTCACTTAGATTTCATTTAGCGGATTTTCTTATCGGGGAAAAAAACCCCAGTGAATAATTAATGCATTTACAGTATCCATTAATTAATCTTACATGCAAAATAAATAGGTTTTACTTTAGAAGACTGGCATATGTGTACATCCTTCAATATAGAACTATGTTACGTTGTGTAGATGCATTGTGAAAAACGCTACCTAATAACATGGCGACCGTAAATTATTTCACCATTCTTCGTTGAAAATATTCTCAACTGACACGCACAGTGTTTTATGACTAACAAACAATGTAATTGATCAGCAATTACTCTCGAATATTTTTTTTTTCAGTGAAAGTATACTGCACGACGAATTTCATTGAAAATATGCGTTGCAATTTTGTGCATAAAACTAACGCCTGGCATTGTCATGAGTTTGACGATGTATGGCCATTACGTGTTTGGTGTTTTGCCGAGTGAAATCAACACTGGTTAAGAATAAACAGGATATTATTAACGGTAATTTTAGTACCGAACGTCATACATTCTATCACAATTGTCGCCATCTATAAAGCCTGCTCGTTATTATGCCCATTAGACACATCTGACACCACAATTCTTATATGCGAGTCGCTGCATAGTTTGGATAACGTACACGCCCTGTTGTATAAGGGGGGTCATGTAAATAGAATCCGCGGCGTTCAAAGCATCAAAATACATCACCTGAAGCCACTACGTCGGTTCCCAGTGTTAATAATAATATTATTAACATTGATATAATTCTGGTATCTACTGATCCCAATGCAGTTACCCAGTTTAAATGTGCTGACCCGTGTCGACCACCCATCATTTCTAAGTTTTCAGTGAATGTTCCCCACAGGAACGAATGTACAAATTGTGAATAAATTTATCGGTGAAATTTCACCAGGTGCACGTTGTCTTGTACTTGGCAGTAGGTAACAAACATATATACAGTTTATATCTCTTTCCAAATATGTGTAAGATTCGTCAGTTTGCTTCTAGAGAGAGTACAATGGTTGTAAGTACACGACCTTTTGACACGAGAATGAAGTATTACTCAATTCACTCGGACACAATATCTTCATGATCTACTTTTAAACAAACACAGTTCCGATTCAATGAACATGCGATACAATGAAGAGAAAATGTTCGCTACTAAAGCTTTGTCCGTTCGATAATCTCCAATAAGTCGACCTGCTTAGATACGGAATACAGGACTAGAAGACGTTATTTCAAATTCTTGCACACTTTCCGAGTTGCCCACCGCTTATATTTTCACTCCCGGAGAAAATATCCGAGTTTCGCTGACTGTCGAGGACGCGAAAACCTCACACCACCTGCTAGTCCCGGTCAAGTCCGCTGCGCTACCCAAGTATCAGGAGTGGTTGCTGAATGATACACCTCCAAGTAAATGGAATGCAGCTCATTGAACAAGGTGAGCGAATAAAAACAATATATCGGTTTTATAGCGGCACTACCCGTTAAGCTATTGACTGTAACGCAATACAGGTATGGACGGTGTGCCCGTGCGAAAATTGCCAGGTAAGCCTGTTGGTATGTAGACCGTGAAGTAGGAAACACCTTCACCCAAAATCAAGAGCGATTTTCCACATGGAAGACCCGAGTATTGTTCACCACGCCTTTTACAACAACTCTTTATTTCTCCGTCGATGTGTACGCTGCATCTAATAGCTGCACGGGCCCACTTCAATGGGACGTCATTAGCATGAACGGTAGATATAATAAACCTGTTACACCTCGTCACGGGTTCAACAATTATTGTTAACTAGATATATAGTCAACCACGCCGTGGCGGCAGTTCGTAGAGCACCAGAAGCGAGCAACGGTCCCGGTAATTTATGTAATTTGGCACCTGAGATATTTGAACAGAACATCACGTTTCCATCGAGCCCATTGTGTTCATCCGTCTGCTGTATTTGCTAACATTTCCATGTAACCAAGTCACGTGATACACCCATGTACACTTTCTCTCATACAGCTTTATGTGATAATACTCCATCATATAATCAAATCAAATATAATAATAGGCCATCTGACTTAATACTTCACAGAGCCGCTATTTTTCCAATTACGACACATTCAACATATGTACCCCGCATAAAAACATTCAACCTATCACAGTACGCACATTTAATAACGCTCAATTGTATCAAGGTGCGTGCGCACTCGCATCTCTTAAACTGTTTTTTGCATTATTTTATATAGACAGGCTTTGCTTTATTGTTAACATTTCCACCACTTACTAGTAGAACACACTAAAAATACTCAAATTGCCGCGAAAAACGGGAAAAAAACATCTGAATAACTTGCAATGAGTCTGTACATATATATAATATAAAGTATAATTTTACTGTGAAAGGTGTGCCAGAATTTCCAGTACAAATAACGTTTCACTAAAAACAATGTACTTGTTTGTAAATTGTCTAATATTTTCACTGACTGAATAATTATGCAAAGTAGCTCTTCTCTCAACTTGGGTTTACGGTTGGTCAGGGAAGTTCAAAATAAATTAAATAGTTTTAGATTTTGGTTTTGTTTCCTGTGAAACACCATGTTTCAGCGATTTTTGGAAGCGTGTTTGTTGTCTCGCAGCAACGTGTCATACAGGGTAATCAAACCATAGACAGTGGCTAATATATATAGTCAATGAATAAACATACTCCGAGTCGGGTATTTCAACATTTCTGGTATCATGATATAAGAACAAAACGCAATATAAAATGACTCGGACACTCTTAAATTAAATAGACAATCCCTTGGAATTATTTAAACTCTCCCAACAACTGAAGAATAAAAAGGAAGATAATGCCTATTTTAAAACATAATCATGTATACCTTAGTGTTATTATATTTTTAAATCATCTTTTTAAAAAGATTCTACTTGTGGTTATAAGCTTCTATATTTGAACTGCGTGTAGGTAATACTGCGTATAAGTATAAAACGAGCAAAAACGTAATTTTATGAATCTACATTTACACTTTAACAAACCAAATGTTCTCCTATAATTCATAAATGAATGTCTATTACTGTATAGTATTAAATTCACACAAAAAAACGAAGGTGTTCGACTTACTCGACGTTGGTGGCTGTTCCGTTGTGACCATGGGTTGGACAGTGGTAACGAAGGGCTGGTAAGTTGTAAGAAGCACTTCACTGTTACAATAGTTATAAGAACAGCACACAAACCGCTGTAAGAGATGATTATTTAGCACGTTTTACCATAAATACAAAATAACAAAATCATTTTTATTAACACTTGATAATTAACACAAATAATTAACACAAAATAATGATTTAGAAATGGACTTACAGTG